CAACCGCCATCTTGGTACCCCGAGTGGGGAGAGTTCGTTATCTGGCGCAGAACGATCAAACGGATGGTCAGAACGAAGGAAATCTCTATTTTCATGGGTTTCATTGGAACAAACGAATCGCATTAATCAAATTCATTAATTATTCAAATTGAACATTTCATTTGCCACTGTTCTATGAGATTCCTAACGTTTCATTTGTTCCATTGATTATAGCGTTACGTTCATTAGTTTCGTGGAGGCAATTGCAATTTTCTATGAAAACATGCACCCTGAAAGCACTCGAATTATTTTCGACAGATACAGATCGATCTCGATCGAATACATATTTATATCGTTACGATAGTGTTATGTTTATCGATAATTACGCGATATTTCGAGTGGTATCTGATATATTGATATAAATCCCCGTTGATCGAGATTCGGGATAAACGATAACAGCCACCCCGAATTAAACGTATATCGGAATCGCGATCTCGCGGCGATAAGCTGCTGGTTTTCGAAGGTAAACGATAAGAGGGAAGCGGACGCCGGATAACCTTGAACGAAACGCGGGAAACATTTGAATTTCGAAACGCGAGGAACAAATGTTTCCTACGAATCGTCAGTAGGTTGACACGATGACTGCCACTGTCACCGATGACCGGAGCTTTCAAGTTACAGTAATTACGACTTGCAAGATGATTGATTTCGAATACAAAGAATTTTCATAACAAAGAATTAATAATTATTCCTTTGTATCTTTGCTATGGAAAGAATAAGTGATACGTAAAATGATGATGTTAATTATTTTCTCAAGTTAACACGATGACTGACATGGTCACCGATGACCGGAGCCTTGAAATTGCTGAAGAATTACTTAAAAAACTTGATTTTAAATAAAAATAGTAATGTGACTACTATAATACTAAATCATTAATAAATAATTAATTAACAACGTATTAACCCCTTGTCCTATAATATATATCACAACCATGATCGATACAACCACTTTGTCATTAATAATTTATTGTAAAAAGAGAAAAATTCTAGGCATATTCTATGTCTATGTTTTCTCTAAAGTATAATAAATGATAACAGAAGAATAATAATTAATTTGGATTCAACAGAATTAAATAATATTTACGCTTGACAAATTCTGTTGAAAATCTTCACCACGTGTCTGACACGATATTGTAGGGCAAGGGGTAAACACTATTTCCACCGAACGACACCTTTCGAAACGTTACCTTTAAATTATTTTCTCAAATTAATCAATTTTCCTCAATTAAATATCGAACGTTTCTTATAATTACTTCTACAATCATTATCAGAAACCTCGTAAGGTTAATTAAGAACATATAACTGAAGTCGGAAAATAATTATAGGTTAAAAATTCAGTTGTCCTTCGACGCTGTCAATAGAAATACTGTTAATGTAACTTTAAAAATAAAACATTCACCTGAATTCAAACTTCTTTACATTATTCAACGACAGCAATCAAAGAGACATTTATTTCCAGCGTCATCGGGTCAGCAACGAAATTAAACTTCCTCTGAATATTCATACCTCTATATGTAAATGCCGTTGTATGATAAAACCAGTTTACTAATAAATATGAATATCTAACATGAGCCGCGAACGAAATGCAAATAACAAATAATAAATAAACTGTAATCATCCGAGAACAGAAATTCAAAAGCGTACAAAGCCAAAAGTACGGTTACCCGCGCAACACGGTGAATAGATGGGAAAAATAATCTTCGAATGGCGAGGCACTGTTGCGCACGCGTGAACGCGGGGCACTTAGACCGCATGCGCACGTCGAATTCGCACAGCCGAGTCCGATCTCATGGAAAGCGATCGCACTACTGCTAAACAGACCATCATCGGTGATCGACATGCTCTTGATTTCGCAGGCTTGTGTTGTAACGCAACACTTTTGTTTATCGTGTGTATAACACATGCGTGCATTTCTATTTACATACACACGACGATCGGCGAGCCTTGCGAGCGTCAATACACGGCCAGTATGCATTTATTGAACGGGTATAAGTATACTGGCCACCGCATGCGTCACACGTGAATATCAATTGAGCGGATTTCAATATCGAACTGTCGTACGCGTGCACGGTTTTTGTTTATTTATGCGCGCGACGGTTGCACCTTTAAGGTTATGTCGACTTCCCAAAGGAACCGAGCAGCCGACCATTTCACACGGGTGCCAATTGTATGAATTTATATTATCCGTTTTTATTTATTGTTGTTCGTGTTAATAAATATTTTTAACGACTTTTTCCGTTTGTTTTTTTTTACTTTTTTGTTTGCCTTATCGCAATCACTCGGTGACGAATGATGAGATGAGAATCGAGCAAAAACGTCCAGTCGTCTACCTTGAATTAATCGACGATCACTTTACCTTTTTGCTAGTTACAGTAAGCGCTGATGGAACGATTAAAAACGTAGAAATGGACGTCCTTATTACGATGTGGCAATTACGCGAGGCATTATCGTTCGAATGCATTAGAGGCATCGCGGCGAATTAAGTGATCGAGTTGATCCGGGCTGAGATAAGCTGATAATAGGATTATACAATAAGTTAATCGTTTTCGAAAGACTTTTCAAGGTGGTCCTTGTTGTATTGAGAATCCATTAAATTCAGATTAGAAGATTATCTGTTTCGGCCATTTTTGTGTTTGTTGTATAAAGTTAATGGAATGAATTTATGTTGTTTTTTGTGTTTGACTTATGTAGGGTAAACTGTCATTTTTCATGGTGAAAGGAATTTTTGAATTTCGCGCGGTTGTGTGTCGGTAACGAGCCTCGTAACCGTTTAAAGATGGCTGAATGTTGAGCGTGATAGCACAGAGACCTCTGATGTTAAACGAAACTTTATACGAATTCTTTGAAATTAATAAACTTGTTTATTATGCATAAGAGCTTTATTTATCCCTATACAAGCAACGTAAAAACATATTTTATGAAACTAGGTAGCATTGATATTAACTACCAGATAACAAATTTCTACTATATTTAAAATGGCCGCTTGTAAATGCCAGACTCGATTACACTGAAAAACATATTTCAACACAAATCGTTGAATTATCTCGATTGTTTTACAAGAGCCGTTGATATAGAGATAAATAATTTGTTTATTATGAATATTACGTAATATGCTGATACAAAATGTCACACCGCCTATCAACGAAACGATAAAAAGTATTTTCATGTTCCTTCCAAAATAATATAAGTAAATTGATGACATTAAAATTAAAAATAATAAATATCGAAATTACCGTTCATCGCGAAATTCAGAATTAATGAATTATTTGAAGACTCGTCCCGCTGTTTTAAATCAGATTTTTACATAACTGCAGTCAGACGTCTTGTCGCAGTGCTGCATAATACTTGTCAGATCTAATACATAACTTTTATGTATTCGCGGTAGGAATCATTACATAACCTAGACAAAGTTAATAAACTTCTATATAGCTAACCTTCTCAAGCGACGTGAATACAAGTACATTAGAAACTAATTTGAACGCTTAATGTCAATGATGCTACAAAAGGTAATTTAAATCGATATTGAAAGAAATGATCACAAAAGTACCTTAAATAAATATCTTAGGACTTAATGTGTGGTATACTCTCAGGAGCCATGTTCAATTTATAAAAACCGACACCAGATGGCACCACCTGTCTGAGAAAATTAGGAAATGAGCAAGTTGCATAGTCGTAGGGGTAAAACAGATACAACAGTCCCAAAACAATAACCACTAATTTCTACAATATAAAATAAAAATCTAAAGACGAATATTTAATAAACACTACTTCACGAATCCCAATAATTAAAAATAACCTCTGAAGCATACTAAGATCTGTTTCATTCGTCTGAATTAACCCCTTAACTTATCGTGTCAGACTCGTGACAAAAATCTGAAACTGAACTCGAGAAATCTTGATGTCCTTAATTTTCTTTTAAGTATAAATTAAATATTACTTTTCTATTATCAGTAGTTAACCGTCAAAGTAAACGTAGATACAAAAGAAACATTAAGATTTTGTTCTTAATAAATCATTAGTGATAAAATAGTTACATCAATCATAGTTAAGAGATCAATTATAGACAATAAAAATATCGTCGAGTGCAAAGGGTGAAATGAAATCTCGTTCTCCTATTTTCTCGATGTAACACCAATTCAAATTTCCCGCGTAAAACCAGCCAGGTCTCCCTCCTTTTATACAGCCAGATTAATCAATACTTCTTTATCGACTGTGTACTTAGTCATCTCGGCGGTCTCGAAACACTGCAGTTGTTGTGACACATTGTGTCATATTGTGTCGCAATAATATCCCGAAGCTCCTCCTAAAGGGACGTTGGCAAGACGAACGACCCGCCGCCGAACGAAACTGTTAAAACGCAAGTTGCTCCGCGGCATGAACCGCGCGTGTGCCATGTAAAACCGTCAAGGGACTCGCGTGTGTGCTGTTAGCTGACGGACGATTTCGACCGAGAGTCATACTTTCGGTAGCCTTCCGGCGTGTCCCTTCCCGTCCCCGGTATTCTCGTCTTTTTCTCGAAGAAAGAAAAAAACAACAGTTCAGTGCAGATATGTATTAAGCGGATCACAAACGATCCGGAGCCTCGTACCTCGAAGAAAACCGTTCCCGTTTCGGTGATGGATTAAGGGCAACGTGTTCACCGATCTTCGATTCCAGGTGAGTCCACTTGTCCCGTATCGATGCAGCGTCTTTTTATAGGAGTGCGGTATCGAGTGTCGTCGATTTCCCGCAATATGTCATTCGATATCGTCACGTCCACGAATTTCGGGGTTGCCCGACCGAAATTATTTTATCGGAATCATGAGATTTTCTCGCCACTTTATTTCATGAATAATGGTCGTCCAATGCGTTTATCGTTGGTTTCTCGAGGAAACTGATTGGTCGTTTGATTATTTTGCAGCTTTGCATTTAAGGGCATCAACCATTGGGCTTATTTCTGGTTTCAGTGGCTGCTTTCTAAAATCTTGTTTTGATGCAGGAGAAAGTTACTTTTCCTAGGTTATTCTGGGAATATGGGTATCAGAGGATTTCATATATTCGTGTGGGATAATCATTGGTCATTTCTGCTTTGAGTAATTTATGCCTGTATCGGTTGAAAGATTACTTGCCATAAGTATGCTCAGGCATAATAGCTCTGATTTAAGACCGCCTCGTTTGGAAAGTAGCAGGAAACAGTCCAAGAGACGGGTGACATGAATGATTGACTGCAAAGGATGATTATAAATCAGATGGAATAGATAAAATATAAGGCGGTACAACTAGTTCAAAATAAATGATACAAGGAGCACTTTCATTTTTCATGACTGGTGGATCGATCACATGTTTGCAACTCTCTTGCACCGCTCGTACATAATGTATGCCCCTTTTATCATATGACTCATATTACCCGTATAAATGCATACACTTTCTGCTTAATTTATAAACAATAATCGGATGCACAAATAAATGCGTGCATTATCTTGCATGATACAAGCAAGTACATAGTTGTTTTCTTCAACATTTCTCATAAGACGGTATATAATTGGTAACTAAAATGATATTTCATTGATTATAGCAAGGTTATTATTATTCAAACCAGTCGTGATTCTCATGAAAGGAAAAAGTGTATTGTAAGAACACATCAGGCTGTTTCTAGTTCAAAAATACTTGAGGTTTTGTAATGACCGATTACAAAATTATTCTTGGCAGCTTTCGTGGACCGTCGAAGATCTCGTTCGGCGCACAAGTACGGGGATCCCGGGGTTTCCACCGTAAAACCGTTAAGAAATTATTAGGGTAACACGTGCGCGGCCACATTTTCGTGCAATGCGTCACGGTGCCGCGGTAGCAATGTAAACCCAGCATTAGCCGTTTCGAAGGTTGAAATTTAACGACCGCGAAGATGATAGTGTAGGTACACTATCACTTTTGTTTTTGCATTTTCATTATCTCTGTATACATAGACACATATA